GAAAGGCTGAGAGAGTTGGGGTTGTTCAGCCTAGAGAAGAGAAGGCTTTGGGGAGACCTTCTTGCAGCCTATCAGCACTTAAAGGGGGCTTATAAAAAAGATGGTGGCAAACGTTTTAGCAGGGCCTGTTGCGACAGGACAAGGCGGAATGGCTTTAAACTAAGGGGGAGTAGATTTAGACTAGATGTAAGGCAGAAATTTTTTACGCTGAGGGTGGTGAAAGACTGGAACAGGTTGCCCAGAGAGGTGGTGGATGCCCCATCCCTGGAAACATTCCAGGTCAGGTTGGAGGGGGCTCTGAGCAACCTGATCTAGTTGAAGATGTCCCTGCCCATGGCAGGGGGGTTGGACTAGATGACCTTTAAAGGTCCCTTCCAACCCAAACTCTTCTATGATTCTATGATAAATGGGGCTAAGGCACTTTGGAAAATGCTGTGGCTGTTACATTAACAGCGTCAAAGATAAAACTGTACTGTGTGGCTGGCTAACGGGTATGGGGTCTTGTGCCTCAGCAAAGGGACCTGCCATTAATTCTGATCGATGCTGAAATTCAGAGGGTGTGTTTAGGGGAGACCAGGGTTTTTATTAGCTACTGACTTTCTGACCTACTGAACTTCTTTGTCCTGAAGAATACATATTTAAAACTGATTTTAAAAATGGTGAAACCTAAATTTATTCTATGGAAAAGAGTGAAGCAGAGTTGGCCTTGTTCATACTAAGCCATATGTGTAGCAAATAAGTTGCAATGAGTGCAGTGTGTCAGTGTAAGCATATCTAATTCACCAAGTATACTGTGCCCCTGCGGGAACAGCCAACATGCAGCAGTGCCAGAAAAGGTTACACCCTCATGTTTTCAGGGATGGAGAGAGGGTTTCAGAGCCTCTTTTGCTTTAAATCTGCCTTGGGCAGACTGGAGATGCTAAGTCCCAGTTCATTTGTGTGTGTGTGCATCTGCGCTGGGTCTGATAGGGGAGCATATGGCAGAAGCGATTCGCCCTTGACTGTGCCTCTTTTTTGGCAGGCACAGGCTTGTTTCTCACAGAGCGCGTGCAGTCACAGCCAGTCCTGCGCATCACTTCTTGCGCCCCTTGCTTGCTGGCTTTCAGCTCTTTGCCTGAATGCATGTCCTTTGTGGTGTTTTGGTTAATTGGACATTGTTTTAATTACTGCTGAACTAAACAAACATGAAATTTCTATCTGTCATTTTGCCACCCCAGTGACCACAGTCTCCAAGCAGGCAATACAGGACTCGGGCTGTTCAGACCCGGTGTAAATTGCAGTGGCTGTCATGGAGTTCCCCTCATTTACACCTTTCTGGGGGAAAACACCCCTCCAGGGAAGAGAAGGCTTCATTAAACAACTCTTTTTTTGCACTGTCCCAAATGCCTTGCTCTGCTCTCACTGCAGTTAGTGGGAAACAAGCCTTGGCTTTAGGGCAGCAGAGGTGCCAGTCTTCTTCCGTGGCCTGGGGACAGTCCATGGCCACATCTTTCATTGGTGTGATCCTTTGCGTTGCCTCCTTTCTTACCTTCCCCCTCCGGTTTCTGCACTAATTGCCTTTTTCTCCCTTTGCTGTCTCTAATTCTCCACCGCAATGCTTCAGTCATGTGTCAAAATTAACAATGGGAGTGCAGGCATGCCCTCAAATCGGTCAGTCTGTAGCCATTTCTGTCAATAACGGCCACGCTACAGCAGCAGGCAGATTCTCTGGACTGCCAGTAGCCTTTATTTTGAGATGCTAATTTGCCACTGACTTGAAGAGGAGAAAAAGCATTTTTTAAATGCCTTAAAAGGCATAGAGCCTTTTAAAACAATCACTTCCCTTCTTTTCTATTTATATTGACCCTTCTCCTTTCCTTACAGCTTTGGAAAGAAAAATATCGATGAGGCAAAGCAGAGAGGAGCTTATAAAACGAGGAGTGCTGAAAGAAATTTTTGATAAAGGTAAGTGTTCTTTTCACAACATTAAATTGACATCCCATATGGTTTTATGGCCAGATATTACATTATTGTAACATTAAGAACTGGGAATACAGTCCTGAATTGCAGGACTGTGCAGAATAAGGTCTCCAAACATCTCTTTTGATTTCACCGTGGGCTGGCCCTCCCCGTTGGATACATGTGATAGTTATCTAGCAAATAAAACTGAAAGCTAATCAGAAATGTAAAGCAGCAGAAATATAAATCACAGCAGCGTGCAGGAGTCACTTGCTGCAAAACAGCGAGGCATCCAGACTGCGGGGAGATGGAGTGGGTCCGTGCCTGCTTGTGCTATCATTGTCTGGTTGAGTCACTCTGGGGTTAACTGTTGTGGAAAAGGGAAACATTTAAAGGTTTTGGATACTGGCAAGCACAGAACAGTGCACATTCCCTTGAAACAGCTCAGAAGACACAATAATAATAATTCCTTGTTCAGGATAATTAATTTGTTGAGTTGGTAATGTATTATTTATGCAAAACGCCATTGTTTTACAAACACCATTGTTTTACACTGGTAATGCAACACATATTTGACATCTATTACGTATGTGTCAATCTTTAACCACAGCTTTTATTTGTTTTGCTGCTTCCCTTGTCAATAACTAAGGCAATGAATTCAGCAAATCATATAAAGACATGCCAAAGTTGCCTCTTAATTTCAATAGAACTCATGCATGTGCTTTAGAGCCTCATTAATTCAAAGTCTAAATGTCTTTAACGATAGCAGTACAGAGCCTGTTAGAAGTCAACAGAAGTTATAAACTTTCACAGATATTAGAAGTAGGGTCTACCTCATAAAGTCTGGAGCATTTAAATCTGCTCCCTACTTTTTTAGTCTAGCTTACTGGGAATTTAAAAATTTACTAACCCAAACTGTTTAATTTTTTAAGTGAAAAAAAAAATAGCAAAACCAAAGAAATATGCTGCTTGTCATTAAATTCTACAGTTGTTACCCATTACATATTTTAAATGTTGCTAGTCCTTTAGATCTAACACTGCCTGTGCTCTCACTATTGGCCTGCTGCCGTGGAAGTCATCCTAGATGCAACTTCAGGGTAGAAACAGCACCTGGCAAAAGGTTTGCCCATCTCACTGCTTTGGGTTGTCCACATTTTGGAGTGTGACTCAGATTGGATACGCAGCCATGAGGCAGGCATCCCCACGGCCAGCGAGGCACAGTCCAGGCTGTCACACCACGTGTGTCGCAGCCCAGGGGAGGCCAGGGTGTAGCTCCCCATTCAGAGCCCTGGCCAGCTCAGAAGTCAGGCTTCAGTCACAGCTTCCGTCCGGGGTGTGCCCTCCTTCCTCCCCGCCTCACATCCCACACGTAGCTGCTTTCTGACCCACCGCTGCATACACCTAAAGGTATCCCTAGGAAAAGTTTTTTCTGTGCAGCCTGACCCTGCCTTCCACATTGAAACTTGGGGAGATTCCCCCTGCTTTCCTACCAAAGCGCTACAGATTTCTCCATTCATCAAATAACGCTGTAGTTTGTAATCTTCTGTGTCATCTTGTGAAGCAGATGCTAAGCTGTCTGGAGGTCCTCATCTGAAAAAAGAAATTAATTCCTCTTTGTAGTCATTTGTCACCTTTTCATATTGGAAAAAGCTGGTACGAAACACATGCTGCTTCTTCCTATTTCCAGTGCAAAAAGCAGAGACATCAGACTTTTTCACTGTCAGATGCCCCTAAAAGGGTAACTGTAATGCAAAACAGCTGGACTTCTTATTCAGTATCTTACATTATTTCCTGCTGGTTGCAAACACAGGAAGCTAAGAATTGGTACACCTCCTTGAAAGAAAGAGGTGGAGCAGAGAAGAAAGTGGTAATACACAAGTATAGTAGCAGTGATCAAGTAGCTTTCATGATATGAAGATATGAGTAAGGCAAGATTTGTAGACCAAAAGCAATATTTCCTTCAGTGGTGTAATAATCCAAGAGTAATTCTAATAAAGGATATTATATCTCACTGAGAACCTTAAGTGGAAGTAACGTTTTCCTTGTAATTCCTGTTAGGTAATCTCTAATCCTTCAAGAAAACACAGCAGACTTCAGCACTTCATAGCAGAAGGCTTTATTTGATGATGGTAGCACCTTCCATGCCAAGAGGCACCTTGCACAGACAATAGGTGTAGCCATAATGTTAAATCTCTTTGTCTCCCTTTCCTAAGAGGAGGACAAAGCAGACAGAATCAGCCTGTGAATGAGTAATTTTGCCTTTTTCTTTCTTAAAAAATTCCATACAGATCAAAGGAAACTTACTGTAGACTGACCCAAGAACAAAAATTCTGGAGCTTGCAGTGTGCTTAGTATTGGTTTTATCATATCTTCTATGTTGAAGAAAAACAGAATTAGCGAGTTTGTTCGCCTGCTGTATAAAATGACACTCTGACCTGTTTGCTTCAGGATTTGCTGGCTTTTCAGAGGACTTTGTGTCATCCAGCAGGTGAAAGTTAGCAGAGTGCAGTAAGTCACAGTGTCCACACATGGGAGAGTCACTGAAGCCCAGCTGCTATATTTGGGAAACAAGAAATGCTTTTATCACTTCAGTGACTCGCACACTTAAACTAGTCAAGTGAAACCACTCCAGACTAAACAGCAGAGCTCGCTCTTTGGCAAGGGCCAGACTCATGACCGAATCAGTTTCTGTCATCTTTCATTTCTGGGGTTCTGTGACTTGAGTCTTCTGAAAATGTAGGCAAAGGTGGTAATTTTTTCAAATACTGTGTACTTTTGGGAAAATAGTAAGTTGAAGGAGTATCTGATGAGGCACCTGCTGTTCTAATAGTTTGTGGGCAGGCAATGCCAGGAGGTTAAAAATACAGCTTCCACCTGCAACTCAAATCATACCACAGCAGTTAGAGGAACTCATATTTTTACTATACCATTGCTCCCACACATAGATAAACAGCTTTGATTTTAACATGAAGGTGTAACTGTCCCAACAGCATCTGTCTTTAGAATTGCCCACTGTTCCATGGTGCTGGTCAAAGAAATCTACCTGTAGTATTTTGGTACCTCTTCTTTTATCTGGACATAGATGAGATTGCCTGTAGTGAGAAATTTCTGAATATGAGTGTGTACTGATTGCTTGCTTCAGAGACAACGATGCAATGGTTCTGCAAGGAAGCATGGGCAGTCTTCATCTTTTATACTTTTGTATTTTTGTACGCTCTATCTAATCAAAATGATGGATTTAGACCCAAATTTCAGGTTACCTAAATCCTGACAGGATTTGGAAGTGTTGCACTTATGTGCTAAGGCAGGTTTTGTGGCAGTATGTGCGCATAAGTTTGAAGAAGTGGTTTTGGTAATGGAGCAAGGAGGAAGGCATAGCAGCCACCAGAGAGCCAGCTGTGCTGCGGTTTCAATATGTTGAAAGGATTTGAACTCCTCCAGAAGCAGGGAGGACATCCATATGTCAGCCTGTCTCAAACTCCACAGGATCCCACAAAATCAGGGGTCTGCTTAGAGACTGAAGTCAGGGAGGATCCTAGCCACTGTCCTAAGGGAGCCACCAAGGCTAGGAAACAGCCCCAGGGACAGGTCTTGACCACATGCAAGAACACTCAATTTTCCATCCCCTAGCCCATGGGGGCCATGGCAGAGAAGGACATGAATTTTTGTCTGCCCTTCCTAGCCTTTGCCATCGAGAACGCTTGCCTGGACAGTCTTACTTGAGAGTGGGCAAGTGCTGAAGGAGACTGAGTGGAAAATAACTCAAGATTTTGAACTCTCCTCATCATTTTGACTTCCTTAGCCATTTGTCTGTGGAAGGAGCGCATGAGTGTGGCACTTTTCAGACATGCAAGAAGTTCGCTAGTCCAAAGTGTTCAGAGTGAAAAGACACAGTGAGAGGGTAAGGCAGAGCTCCAACTTAAAGAAACAACAAAAGGACTGGTCTGTACCAGTCATCATGACGCACTGTGGGCTGCTTCGCACCAGGCAATTTTTTAGAAGTACCTGAAAGTGGAAATGGCAGGTGAGTTCAGGAGTACAAACCAGGCTTAGAGGACACATGTTTTGAACATATCATCTATGCATTTCTGGGCCTTCACCCCATGCTGTTATTTTCACATGCTAAGGTGAATCAAAGCGTCTAGGAGTTTCCTCTGAGGTCTTGTTTCTTCAGTGACCTCAGGTGTGCGGAGCCTCCTGAGTAACAGAAGAGCAGCCTTCATGTGCTCCTGTTGCTGCAGAAGTCAAGCTACCCTCTCTGGTCCCGTCCAGATCCAGCTGATTCACACTCAGCCGGCATTATCAAAGCTCATGCATTTAGGGAAAGTCATTCTCCACTAAGTAGCAGCAGGCTCTACAGCAAGTGTGAGAACAAAAGATTACATATGTTATCACTGTGCAAAATTAACTTTACACTCATAGCCAGTTCCTGAAGACTAATCGATTCATCCGTGTATATGTAATAATTGCATTACCAGGATTCTTTTCATTTGTGTGTCAGCTAACCAGAATAGCTTTTAGTACTTTAAAAATAATAAGTAATTTGCCTTTTATGTCTGGTTGTCAAGCATGTCTCTGATCCAGGATTAATTCACACTAAGATATTCTTCATTCTACCAATTATTTTATCTGCATCTTTGATCTGTTTGCTGTACTCAAGCAGCTCCCCTTCTAGCTCCTCTTCAAGCGAGATCTGATTTAAGGTGTATATTTCAGTCATGATTCTGTGTCATGTCTGATGATTTCAGTCAAATCCAAGGACAAGTTTTAGAGTCTAAATGAAGACTGGAGATATTCAGAGGTAAGATTAAAAGAGACTGTGCTGTCAGTACAGAGAGCTGTCATGCTTGTTATTATGACAAAAAGTAACAGCCAAAATTTTATCTCATTTTACTTTTTTGCAATCGTAAACCTTCAACGGGTCAGTTGAATGCTATCTTCTTAAATCATGCTGAATATACCTTGAGAAATGCAAAGTGCAGTTAAGACAGTAAGATTTCAAGGTGCTCAGCATGTTACGATAGGCATCCCACTTCATTAAAAATGTGTAGACATCCCTCCAAAAAATAAATGTTACTGGTTTTGTCATGCATACTTTTTGTCTGCTCACAGTTACGGTCAAATTTAGTCCTGCACTGAATTAATGAATATTGCTGGACACAATCGCTGCCTTTCATTCAAGAAACAGTTGCTCTGCATAAGAAACAGTTATGCTCTTTTGTGAAACCAGGTAACTGAGACAACAGCAGCCCCTATCCCAAACATGTGTAAAGGTGTGTGTTTATAAAAGGGAGACAGAGCAAGCACAGAATACATAGCATTTCAACCCAAACAGCTAAGTCGAAAAACGTTCAGCTTAAATACTGGCTGAACTGTTGTTTGATTTTTGCTGCCTAGGGAAATAAACACGTTTGTATTGAATGACCACAGCAGTTAGAAGGAGACTGTGCTGCGAACAATTGGCTAAAACCTTCAGTTTTGATCAATGTTGCCACCTTTTAACCAGCTCAGTTGATTGCTCTGAAAGCCGTGGGTGGGGTTTCAGTCTGGTACTGAGTGGCTGTGTACCATAATAGCTCTCTAGATCTTCAGAAAGCCTCCAACAAAAACAAGAAAGTCAAGACCTTGGTATTTCTAATAATTCCAAAATAAGCAGGAGACCATCTTCACTCGCTGTAGAGAAGCTTTAAAAGGCAGAAACATAATTCTGAATACTTATCAGCTAACGTACTTTCAGACTTGTTAACTGCTCTCTCCTGACACTTAAGTGAGACTTAATTTTTTTTTTTTTCGGTGGTGTTTTCCAAAGTGTTTTGCACATCTTAGCCCCGTGAGGGAACAATGTGCACTCACTTGAATGATGTACATCTCTGCTCGGTACATTGAGCAGTAATATGGCTAATCAGAGGTGCCCAAAAATCAAGAACCAGATCCTGAAATCCTGAGTTTGACTTAAAAATATAATTTAAATGCATAGTAAAATTAGGCTCCATTTATTTGCCTGCTGGTTTTTAGCCTTACAGGTCACATTTCGGTTATATTTTCAGGATTCCACTCGTAGCCATAGGGGCTGAACACTTTCCTTTATAAAATTGTAATTGAGATATCCATGTAATCATTGCCTGCAGGTACCAGAGTGCTGTGCATAACAAGTTCTGAGATAAAAATCATGTGGGTTGACACCATAGAGAATGATCTGATCCCTCGCTTCTGTTCTTTATTATTTCTAATGTGAAGTGGCGTTTGATAGGAAGGAAACTACTAGCTGCTGTTACAGAAATTTTGCTCAGATAGAGGAGATATATTACTAATAACTTTAAAAACAGGCTTTCTAAATGGAATCTGCTATATCCCAGTATCAAGACCTTACACCAGGCGACTATAAAAATTATTCTCTCCCTTACTTAAAATCTTGATGCTGGGAGCTGTAATGTTTTTATTTGTGCATAAAATAGGGACCTACTTCTGTGATTTTGCTTGTGTCCCTTATAGCATAAAAATTGCTGTAAGGGAAGAGAATAATCTTGTTGTTATTATTATTAAAATATTATAAATTATATACTGTGTATATTCCATAGTTTCAGTTCCAGCCCATTCTCATTCCTGACTTCCCAGCTTCAACAGAGACAGAGGAAAAACAGGTTTTGTGGCCCTGGATGGGCCGCATGGCCCTATGGGTGGAGGATGGTCAGGAACCATCCAGCTTAGACCATGGATCATAATGACCATGGATCCTAGGGTAAGCAAAGGATCAACACAGATATTTGACAGATCTTTCCCACATCTTAATAACCCCTTAAGGTAAGTGGAATGCTGTCAGACTTCTGTGAAACTGTTGTGGACAGAACATCACAGTCAGTCATTTCCAAAAATTGTTCTCCACAAGTTGTGTTTTTGAGATACAAACCATATTGTTTTTGTCCTTATCCCTGTCTTCTGTATACATACAAGATCTTAGTTCAGGTTCCTCGTTTGCAAGCAAGCTAATGGAGATAGCAGATTTCATTTTAAATTCTTTCTGCATCTTATTTATGTGTCTTCTGTTGTCATTCTGCTTTCCTCCAACTATGAACAGATGGGGAACTTTCCATACCAAATGAAGAAGGAGCTTTGGAGAATGGACAGCCTCTGGGCTCCGGGCAAGTGCTGAGCTCCAGCCAGGTATCCCTGCCAGCCCTAGCAGAACTGGAGTCAGGTCCAGCATCTGGGGAACCCTGCTCATACGAGGTGCTCCCAACCACTGAGATCATGGATGGGACAGGTAACATCTTGTTTACATTATGATGTAGATACTCTAAGCTGTTTGAAACAAGTTTTTGATTTCTAACATTTGGTGCCTAGCCCTGAGAAATCCTTGTCGAAGACAAAGGTCTTCTGGTGGAGAAGGAGGTGACAGCATACAGATTGTCACTGGGTGCTTCATGAAAAATTTTGACTGATTTGGTGTAGAAGTAATGTCTACTTTTACACAGGTAACCTCTTTGTGAGTAAGGCAAAGTCCCTGCACTTCGCAAACATTTAAGAGTAGATTTCTAACTCTCTGGCTATGTCTCAGCTGTGCCAATGAGCTCTAGAGCAGAGAGCTGACAACATTTTTAAACCCTAGAGTACAACGTCATGCCCTTGGTGTTGCATGACATTCACACCATGCATCTTTCAGTAGCTAACACAGCCAGCTGTCCTACCCTAGGTGAGGCGCTCTGCACTTCTTCCCCAGCCCATGCAGAGAGACAGCAACGCTGTACATCTAGGTTAGCTCCTCTTTCTGTACCACTTCATGCTGAGAGTTGTGGACGAAGTGTGGAAAAGTGACTGGTAGAAGTGTTCATCCATGATCCTGCACAGCTATGCAGCCTCTTTGAAATGGAGTAGGCCCCGTGAGGTGCTTTTACATTTATAGGGTAAGTTTAGAGACCACCTGCTAACATATCTGGTCCTGAGCAAGCTGTGGTGACAGACCATCTGAGATGTGACATTTTAAGGCTCTTGATCTGTGTTCAAGATGTGGGAATACGTCCCAGCCTGGCATAAGGGAGCTGGCTTCTGGCAGAGGTAATGGGAAATTTGGCTGTTGTGTAGATGTGTGTTACTCCTTCTCTTTCTCTTTTTCTCTTTCTTTCTCTCCTCCTTTCTGTGTTATATGATGTTTGAGTGAAATCTATTAGTCGTTCTTAATCTGCATAGCTGCGCTGCTTTTCGTGTCTTACTGCGGCTGTATCTGCTGCTGCTTTGCTCGTAACGTTGTTGCGTCTATGATGTGGTTGTGTCCTCCAGTGTCTGAAGACAGCCCCACATCCAATGAATCCGGCGTCCTCCTGTCCCAAGATCCTACAGCTAAGCCAGTCCTGCTACTTCCCCCAAAAAAATCTGCCGCTTTCGCTGGAGACCATGAGGACACCCCAGTGAAACAGTTGTCCCTCCTCAAACAGCCCCCTGCCCTGCCTCCTAAACCTATTGCCAGGATTGCCAGCCACTTAACTGGTAAGTAGGTGCTCCTGGACCCTCAGCACCACCGTTTCCCTTATAGGAAAAACCTGCCCTTACAGCAAGGTTCTCAGTGTCCTTCCTCCTTCTGTAACGCTGTTTGCACATGTTGTTGTGTGTACTGGTAATGTATCTGTGTTGTACCGAGGGCAGGGATCCCAAAGCATTTTCAGGCTATAACTTCATCAAGGTTGCTTCAGCGCACTTCCCCTCTCAGCTGTAATTACCTAAGACCGCCGCTGCGTTTCCTAACCCTCCTCACTCTTATTCATCAAGACTTAACCATCACCACAAAAATTGCAGGATGTGCTTTGATGGGAAAGGAAGTATCAGGAAAATACTAGGATATCTTTAAATGCCTTTAATGAGAAAAGGGGTGAGGGTTGAGGGGAAAGGGAGAGTTTTGCTTTCTCTTTTTGCCTTTTGTTGCTTCTCCCCTCAGCTGCCATCTGGGCACACACCCTGTATCTTTCCATGTGTTTGTCTTCTACTTGGCCTCCTGATCCTTACACAGGCCATTCTGTCCCATGGCTTCTTGCCATTTTGCTTCCCTGCTCACACTGCCTGCCTGACCGCTGCCCCTTTCCACCCCGGCTCTGACTACTCCCCTCCCACTGGTGAGTCCTGATGATGATAGGCAGCTCCAGTGCCCAATGACCAGGATTTTGGTGTCCTGCAGTTTATGCTGGAGTCTATCTCTCACTCCATGGCAGCTAGCAACAGCAGACAATACAGCCTCCTTTTTTGTGTTCCAGATGTTTTCACAAGTGTCCAGGCTCTTTGGGATTCAAAGCTCCAGGTACATGTGGAAGGAGGATTGGTGGGTCTCCTCCCTCCACTCTCTCATTTAGACCACCGAAGCAAAGGATGGCTACCTTACACAGACCAAAAAAGGTTCCCTAAATGCTTGCCTGCACCTTTTGAACAGTCTGCTCATAATTGCAGCTGCTGCCCAGGAGGTAGGCCCTCAAAATCCTGAGTTCAAGACAAGGTGTGGTGCATCCCTGTAGTGGGGCAGCTACCGGTCTTCTCACTGGGTCAATCTTCTTGTGTTAATGCTGCCCTGATCTTTTCAGGGCTGATGTGAGAAATGCTCAGCCCACATTAATACATTCTAGATGGTTTTTTTTTTCCTGACAGTTAATACCCATTTTATTCGGGTTAGGATATATCAGGAAAGAGCTCATTAGGAAAGAGCACGTTCTGGTTTTCTCTCATATCTCTACGTAGTCTCTTCATGTTTCTGTTTGGATGACCACACGTTTTTGTTCTGTATAGTTTTGTTCATTTTATGTGAAATCTCTTTACTTTCTTGCCTGCCAAAATCTACACATAATGGTTAATATTTCGCCTTATACTACAAACTGAGTGGGCAGTTCTGCAGCCTGCAAAACCAGGGAGCCGTATTAATGGCTTCAGGTGAGGACAAAACCAGCTTCCTATGATCTCCCATAACACTCTGTCCCAATTACAAGAAGCTGCTCAGAAATGAGGCCAACATGTAAGAAATAAAAAAATAGGAATAGCATAGGAAAAACCTCAGGTACTAAATGTCCTTCATTCATAAGCCTTTCTTTTGTAAGAGAGAGCAGAAGAATCAAAGGATGAGGGCTTCTGGTGCGAGTTTTTATGCAGCTGGAAATTTTGTGTGAAGTAGAATCAGGCTCAAGCTATCAGCATAAGTCAATTGCTTGATGGTGACGACTTTCCAATGAAAGTGAAAGAGAACTGTGACTTCTCTTTGTGGTGGCCTTTAGTGGTCTCTCATCCAGTCCTAAATAAACTCTTGTATGTGCATATAGACAGACTCTTGTACGTGCATATACAGAACCCTCAGGGAAAAGGAACAGAGCTTCAGATTTAGTCATAGGGCCCTAATTTAATTGACAGTTATTCCTGGTGGAACTGAAAGCCTCATTTATACGTACCTTATAAATAAAAGTATTAAACTTATTCTTAAGGGTCCATTTACTTTGGTGGTCTAAAGGATATACGTGTTGTTCAGTGCCTTGTGTTTTCCACTGGTAATTATTTTAGCGTGTATAATCTTTGGAAATGAGCAATCAATCCTAATGAAGCACCCTCATCAGTGAGAAGCAGAATTAATGCTATTCTTTTACTAATTACTCCAGAGACATCCTCAGCTTGGGTGTGAGGAAACAAGTGAAAACTGAATTCTGGCATTCGAGGTGAAAACTTTTCTGTTCTTGTTGCATACCCATTTTTCTACTGAAGATTGTGTGAGAAGGTTGAAGGACAAATTAAGACGTACTGGGCTTGGCTAATGGAGAGTGACAGTGGTTTAATGGCTTGGTAGCTCTGTTCAAGAAGACTGCGAGGGGAGATGTGATCTTGTGAAGGGTTCAGGTACACATCTGAAAATGCAGAAGTGCCTCTTCTGTCTTAAGATATATATATATATGTATCATATATATCATGAGTGTACATATGTATGTGTACATATGTATACTCATTTAATAGAAGTATGTTTTATACACACATATATTATAAAATCACTACAGGTGTGGTCAGCAGCAAAAAAAAAAAAAAGATTAATATTTTAAATACAAAACTTGAGGAAAGAAAAGCTTCCTTTGAGTCTGACCACCTTCTTGCTGTGAACTTATCCCAAAGTTCTTCAATAAAGGCATGAAGTCTGACTTGCAGGGTTTGGCAAAGGACTTAATACAGGTTTTAGAAATGGAAAAGAAACATACCTCACCTCTGAAAGCATTTGTGAACCAACTCAAACATCTATCTGCCTGTGTCGAGACAAAGATTGGCCTTTCCCTTGATAAGAAATGCACATAAAAGAGCAGGCCTAAAATAAACATGTAAGAGCACATTTAATTTTGGGGAGAATGAAAAGAAAAAATCCGTTTTAAAGGTGACAGGAAGAGAGAATTGCCTCTAGCAAATATAAATCACACAACCTTGGCATGCTTCTTCTCAAGGCTGAGGTACTGTAGGGACGGGACAGTGCAGGAACGGGGACAGAACCAAGAGCAGACTGCAGAGCAGCCACTGGGAGTGGTGTCACCGCCGCTGCAGAAGATGCTCTGTGCTTTGCCTCATGCCATCTCCCATGCTCTTGATGATACTGCCTCCACAGGGAACGTCTCTATCACAGCACTGGATGTGGAAGTGCCCACGCAGCCCTAGAAGACAGGCAGCCCTAGGAGAAAAACATGATCCTTAACTGTTTCGATACCGTTGTTTCACTGCTCTGCATTTGGCATTGGCCGGTCACCTCCTGGTGAGCCTTCTACTGGTTTTCAGATATGATTATTATTAGACAACGTTCACGGACAGAATTTCTTTCATCATTTTAATTCTCCAATATCCACATGCAGAACACAGGCATTTAGGACACTTGCAGCCCCCTTTGTTGAAAATGTAGGAGGAGCTGAAATAATCACCTGGGACCAAATTTAATTGGACTGCTGGGGGAAAGTCCCCAGATTATCATAAAATCTTCAATGGCCAAAAGTGGCAAGAAGGCTGCCCATATCTGATTTGATAGACAACACACCCCAGTGGTGTAAAGCTCCGTTTGATCTTGATTCATTAAGCTGTTACTTTTCACCAGCACAGATACTGTTTTCTGAAATTAATTAGATATTTTCTATTCAAACAACTGAATCACCAGTAACCCATAAAGTCCCCTAAAACATCAGAGAACAAAATATATGCCACTAAGTGGGATCTCAGCAACACCTGAGTGTATTTGAGCCCAAATTTAGCCTAGTATTACAGTAGGGTGTAGCCTGGCTTGTATCTGGCCACTCAGCTATTGTACTTAAGCTTTGAAAAACCTTTTGCATTCTCTTGCTTTCTTCATTCAAGATTTTGAGGAGAGGCACAGCACATTTTTAGTTCTGAGATTGTGCTTTCTAGTTATGTCTCTGTAGAGTAAGAACTAATTCACAATCAGAAGCAAACATTTAACAGGGTAGGAAATGTTACAAGTCCCCAAAAGTTACTTCTGATAATGCAGACAAGTCAGGGATGAGGTTTGAGAACATGGATGCCTGGTGTTCTGCTGCATTGCCACAACACAGCTGGTTGTTAGTTACAGCATTATAAAAGTATTTACAACTACAATTTATCCAATAAATATTCTCTGCAGTATTTTATAATGCAACAGTGTCTCAGAAGGCTCCTCTGTAGATGAGCCCAAGACATTATCCACAAGCTTCCTCCTTCTGTGACGTTACCTCCTGCTGCCCGCTCTGGCAGGCTACATTCATGAAGACAGGTTACATTGATGTGGGGGCAGTGGACAATTCTCTTTTCACTGTGTGCTTGAGGGAGAAGCAGCAGAGCAAAAGCAGCTCTCCTTCACCAGCAATCCCAGGCTCTCATGGGAAACCGGACCCTGATGCAGTTGCTCTCTCCACACTTCTCTGCCTGCCACTACCTGCAGGGGAGTACCTAGCACATATAGGCAGCAGGAGATCTCGTCTTTGAAACCCTCCTCAAGGCTCTGCATGGGAATCCATGCAGAGCTGTACTTTTCAACCTTTAGGCTAAGCATGCTTTGCTTGTGTTCTCCAAATTCAACTTGAACCTTGGATGCATACATGGTGCAGAAGAACAGCAAAGAATTTCAGTCTCAAATCTTCCCTGAAGACATGGCTGCAGATCTTGCTGTAGTCAGCAGGAGATGCATGGCAGATCTTTCAGTACAGTTTTTAACTTGTCTTTATGAATCTGCTCAAAAAACTCATTGAAAGAAGAAAAGAGACTCTCACTGTTCAGACACAAGTGATTCCCGGAGAGAATACCCGAGAAAGTAAAAGCTACTCGTCCAAATGCTACCAGCAAATATCAGGCACATAACCTCATTTCCACTATGGAGCTCCCTCAACAGGCCATGCTGGTTTTTGCACATTTTTTTTGCACATTACAGAATTAATTACTTGGATGGAATTTAAAGAGTAACTCGTTAACTTTATGATGAGTTGCATTACTTGTATTCAGTACAGCAAAGATCATAGTATAAGGTCATTCAGGTGGGAAGGAACCTCAGCAAGTCTCTAGTCCAACCTCCTGCTCAAAGCAGGGCCAGCTATGGGACCAGACCAGGTTGCTCAGGACTTTGTCCAGCCGGGTCTTGAAAACCTCAAAGGGTGCCAACTGCACAACCTGTCTGGGCAAACCTGTTCCACATTTTGGCTCTTCTCATGGGGGAAAATGTTTTCCTTATAGTCCAGTCCAGAACCTCTCTTGTCTCCTCCTCCCACCATGCACAACTGTGAAGGGCGTGGCTCCACCTTATTGATAACATCCTCATAGGTACTGGAGGGCTGCTGTTAGGTTCCCCCCCGCAAGCTATCTTTTCTCCAAGCTGAACAAGCCCCGCTTCCTCAGCTTCTCCTCACAGGTCAGGTGCTCCAGCCTTCAACCATCGTGGTGGCCCTCTGCTCAACTCATTCTAGGTTTTTGATGTCTTTCCTGGGGGGCCCAAAGCTTGACACAGTAATGTAGATACAGTCCAAGGAGTGCTGAATAGAAGGGGAATAATCCCTTCATCTCCTGGCTGTGCTTCTACTCATACAATCCAGGAGGCTGTTGGCCTTCCTTGCTGTCCGGGTACCATGCTGGCTCCTGTTTGGCATCAGAAGGAGTCAAGAAAGAGCTTTTGTCCTGCTGGCAGGATAGCAAACACAGCCAGGTCTGCCACAAGCCCAGGATTCCCAGGCATGCCCTCTTACGCCATGCAGTAGTTGTGCTGGGGGAGGATTTGAGGATTTTAATGAGCTTTTCTAGCAGCCCTGCTGGAGCAATATTTGCTACCATACATCCAGAACTTCCTAGCACTCTATCTGCAACAGGTGTATCTGCACCATGTCCTGACCAACTCTCTAGCCATGTTCAGTGGCTGGGAAGCATCAGATTTGGTGTAGTTAGCGTACAGCTCCAGTGTACCACAAACACATCAGAAGAACAGTACATGGGCAGACCTTCTGTGCAGCAAATAAAAGTATATTTATCTATTTCCTGAAAACCCAAGAGGAAATGCAGCAACTATAGGTATTAGCAAAATGATCTATATGGAAGGGGTAAGGGCTGACCTGTTTGTCATAGGTCTGATGTGCAGCAAATATTGTGGCATCCACAACTATCCTTTAAGTAACTTATTGTCATCAGCGGTGGGAAGGTTTCTATGTCTAACATCTCTTTTATCAATTCTGGCACAGTTATTACTTTACCATGCACAGTGCTGAGTGGTCACAACCCTGCTGGGAGCCAACATCTTGCAAAATTGCTCATTATTCTCTTGAGCATGAAGAACCTCAGCCAAAAGAGATTAATCAGACTTGCACACCTGGCTTGACACAGTTTGCTTCTCTTCTGTCACATGAGTGCTTTGTGCAATGATTTAAGACTCTGGTAATGTTCCACTGAGAAGACACTTATCATAGATTCCTTGTTCGTATTTCCACTGTCCAGCTTCTTATTCATCTACAGATGTCCATGGCTGATGGATGTTCCATGCTGGAGACAATAACTGTTTCCACCCCTGGTTCATACATCACATACATTGTGAAATTAAAATAAACAGAGGAAAGAACTGTAAAACACAGTGATCTCGCTCTTAAATGCAGGGACAAGTTGTTCTTTCGTTTACTCCAGATGATGGTAGCACAGTTTCCAACAGCATGCCTGGAGCCCATGGATTTAAGCAAGGCCTCATTTGTTCGGCATGCTCACTGATCTGACCACGCAGTAAAACTTGCAGTACAAGGTCTCCATTACTGATGTCGGTGAAGATATACTGATATGTTTCCGAGCGAATGGATCGAACTCCTCCCATTGCAGTCATTCTCCTTTTAGCCATTTTTTTTTTTAACAGACAAGTAGAATTCTCCCAAAGGTGAAGGGCAGACAAGTAGATTTAATGCCTCTAGTTCATTTTCAAGGCTCTATTTAGGTATTAGGGCCATATTCAGACAGGCTCAAGAACTTGGGTGAAACACAGTCGGTCTGAATAAAGCCTTACATTAAAAATAATGGACAAGATTTTTGGCAGGTGTCCAGTGGAGTCACCCAGCACTGGTACCACTGAAAACATGTTGATGTGAAGGATTTCTTTAAATTTAAGTGGAAACTAAAGGTCCATACCTTTGTTGTGAAGAGTGGAAATCAGAGTATGCACATCTGATTCATGATGGAGTATGTGGTTACACGGGATAATTAAGTATAATAATATAAGATATTAAGATAATAATAAAACAGTAATAATTGTTCGCCTGTGCAACTCCAAAGCTGCAGTGCCTCTGTCACAACTCTACTAGATGAATGCTTGCGTTAGAAAGGAAAAGAAATTTTCACTATCTTTTACAAGAAAGATGGAAGGATTCCTGTTTGCTTTATAGCTGAACCATTTGGCACGTTGTACTCACTCCCACCATACAATATTGCTCTAATCTTCAGGATCACAGAAGGCAGCAAACCCAGTTGATACTTCCAGTTATTCTTTTGTCAGAAGCAAGAGATATCTGCAATTGGGATCTCTTTGAATTCACCATTAAGGATGACTCCCCTGCATCATACACAGAGTGGTGGGGAATCCAGGCACAGGCACTGTCAGATGAAGACCTGAATTGAGATACAGGAGAAAAGGATCTAAAAGCAATAGTCAAACCTGCGCTTTTCAACATGGAAGTGCAGATCTCAGTGTAGTCTTTGTAATTCAGGACCAGCTCTAGAAATGAAATTGCCTGGAGCACAAACGTATGAAAACACTTTGTTACTACAAATCCCATAGGATCCTTATTCTCAGGGCTCTATACAATTTACCCTTTACTCTTTCTGTTATTAACCTTTTATTGAAGACGGTGTGTTCTTTTATGCAGGATACAAAGAGGAAATATACACAGATAATGTGTATGTAAGAAAACCACAGTAACTTGGAGACCTTCCTGTGCTTGAATAGAAAATCCTGAAAGATTTTTTTTTCCACTGTACAGAAAGCAATCTGCTTTATAGGGGAGGGCAGTGCCCTGTGGTTTGGCAATCCCATGAGTTAGATTTCAGCCTTGGTGGAGCCATCAGAAGAATTTTTGCCTTCAAGAGACATGTCAAGTAGATATGATATTGCATTGAAAGCTGAAAGACTTGAGTTCTACTCTCTGTAACTCTGCCACTGCAATGTGGAAAGACCACTTTCTCTCAATGTCTCTATTTCATCTTTGCACACCCTTTGCCTCTCCCATGTCTTCAGCCTATAAGCTCTTTGAAGAAAGGGAAGACTTGCTGTCAGCGTGTTGTTCCTAGCATAGTAAAAACACTAGTATCAAGTGGATACTGTGGATGCAATGAAGCTACAACTAGCACTAAAAAAGTCTAATGTCATATCTGAGTTTGGATCCATGGATGGTCTTTTTCCACATTACTGTCCTTAATCATTTTCAAGAAGCGTTAGTGCTTGGAAGTCCTCATATCAACCTTGTGCACCCTGGCTAGTAGATATGGATACTAATACAGGCAATACCCAGAATAGGCCAGGAGGGAGGAAGGAATAAAGGGGGCAAGAAGAAGGATAGTTAATGCTAAAAAGAGCCATCTGGAAAAGGACTTTAGAAATCTGATATAGCTCAGGAGGGTGATGACCTTTGAAACCTGGAGGGCGACATCTTACCCACAAGGTTTCTCAGGTCAAAAGAAGATTCTAGCCCTTCAGTTCCTTTGCCATGTTACAGCAAGAAGAGTGAACTGAAGCAACAGGAGGCCAAAGAGTGTGCAAGCCTTGCCCGCAGAGCTGCATTGCAGAACCAAATGTCTGTTGTATTCCAGGCTGGAAAAGGCCTGGCCTTCCTCCTAAACACAAACTCACAGTTGCAACTCACAGCGTATATATTTGCTCTCGTTTTTGCTCTTAGCATATGTGGTGGCCATTTCCCACACCCATTTTGGCAACTACAAGCCCTCTCATTAACTTCTTTTCCCTTCTGAAAACTTTTCATGGTGCAACTCCAAAAATCTCCATCCTGCAGTTGAGTCCAGGCAGAGAGATTTGCTTGTGGACCTTTCATTGATTTCCATGGAAGACACGGAGGAAGTCTTTGCCTGGCAGGTCAACTGTGTGATTCAAGGAACATGCCTAGAGCTAAAAAGGTTAAAATTCAGTGCATGAGTCCAGAGAAAAGTGCCTGTCAAGTCTTCTGTAAAAGAATACATTAATCCTATCAATCTTCTGCCCTTTATCATTTTCTCCTCCTATACCCTTCATTTTTCCAGACCACTCCTGTTTAGTATTCAAACCCTATTTCTTTTCTCTCTTGCCCTGTAATGTAACTTTTAACACCAGATGTTTTGCACATTACAAAGCTGTAAGAAATGTGGCTTGTAGTAATTGTACTGCAGTGGCTGAGAAGGATCAGGAGTCCCTGAGCTTTTGCTCCAGCAGTGATGGTGGTGAGTCATCCTGTAACTTCAGACACCGAATTGCTCTCCCCCTATTTTTGTGCCTGTTGAGCAGGAGACGTCGCGCTTACCTCACAGGGCTGTTTTGCAGGATTAGGGCTTTAAAGCGTCAAAGTGTGCTACGAGCCTTGTTAAGCATTGCTTAACGTGTTTATTAAGGGGCATGCGCAGCCCTGGGATGTTTTTTGTGAGACTCGGAAGTGCTGCAAAACAACAGTATTTTTTCCGAAGACCGTGCTGAACACACGCTGTGCAGAGTTGTCTGTCGCAGCAGGGAAGGGGTGCACACTCCCATGTTGACTAGCAACCTCAGTACCTGCTCGCCCAGGCAGATACTCTGATCTCCATCTCACAGACGTGAAAATTAACACCAGGGCCTCTCTTTCTTCTGTTTTAGATCCTGGCGCTCCTGTGAAACTGCCTTGTATGCCAGTTAAACTGTCACCTCCACTACCTCCAAAGAAAGTCATGATTTGCATGCCTTTAGGGGGGCCAGACCTCTCTCTCTCATCCTATTCCACGCAGAAGAGCTCCCAGCAGCCTTTGACCCAGCACCATCACACTGTCCTGCCATCCCAGTTAGCAGCTCACCAGCACCAGCTCCAGTACGGCAGCCACAGCCAGCACCTGCCTTCTGGGTCCAGCACGTTGCCCATTCACCCTTCAGGGTGCCGGATGATAGAGGAACTGAACAAAACGCTAGCCATGACCATGCAAAGGCTAGAAAGGTAATGGATCAACTTTTAAAATTACATATTGATGTGCACTGTTTCCTGCTAACCTCAGTATCAATATCACCACTGGAGTTATGTTGATAGTACTTGAATGAGGCCTTTCCTCTGGGGGTCTAACAACTTCAGGACAGTCATTGCTGGAGAAACAGAGATGGGGAAAGAGCCTTTCCAGGCTTGTTTGACAAGTTTGTGGCAGAAACGAGAAAAAGACCACATTTCCTGAACCCCGTTGTCCTGTTCAAGGAGCTAGATGATACAGCCAGTGGAGAAGATGTTAATAGGACATGCCTGGTTTGCATTATATACTGCAGAGTGCATAACTGCAAAGCTCTGGTTATGTGGAGGATTGCAAAAAAAAAAGGAGAGGAAGTGGAAGATTCAAAAAAGAGCACTAAAAACCAAATGTGCCACTCAACCAGGGCATCTGATTAGTATTACCAATTAGCTCGAAACAACCTATGGGGACTTCCTACAAGTCACTCGGAGGAGTTTTAATATACTATTTCAATTAATTTAAATTAAATTGTATGTTTGATCTTAAAATAAGTATTTAACCCATTTTGCAACAGCTATCTTCTTAGCCATTTGCATCTGGAGGAAGGTTGTACATTTGATCAGAAAAGCCTTACCCACCTTGGGGCTGTTTTCTATTACTGTCACTTGTGAGTATCTCTGAATGCTGCTTCAAATAGTCTGAGTAAGTGAAGCATATTGTATAAATGCAAGCTGTCCTCATAGACTGCAAGATCAGCAAGCTTTGGAAAATTTATTTTGTCTTGTAGAGGAAAATTGAGCAAGTCCCAAAATAGGGAAGGTAGTCCAAAAAATGACATGTTCTATTTAGTACCAAGGGCAGCTTTGTAGCCAGCTTGTTCTAGGAGCATCAGATCATTCTTCTCTTAGACAGGACGTGAAAATATTTGGTCTAACAGACAAAATGCCTAATGGTTTGCCCCAATACCTCTTCGTGATAATGATACCTTCATTATAGTGCATAGTTAAAAAGAATTTGACTAGGGATGGCAGATTCTCCTTACTGCATGAAAAACAGTCGGGACCAGAGGCTGTCCCACACTGCCAGCTTATTTTAGTACCAGGATAGCAAGACCTCTGTGGTTATATCAGGGGGAGGGGGGCTGATGTTTCTGCAGCATGGGGGAAATCTCTGCTGGGGGAAAACTGTTAGGGCTGTGAGGGAGGTTCCTCTTCCCATCAGTAAAAGGGCTGTAGCGGTAGGATTGGAAAAAGCATCCACATTCCCCCTTGTGCCCAGTGACTACCCAGTTACTTCTCACATTGCCAGCAGGGCTGGTCAGATGCATGTTCATCACCCCAAAGCTTGGTGCACCGAGCGCAGAGGGTAACTGGTGTCTCCCAAAGGCTCCTTCGGGGCTGCGCTGCCCATGCCGTCGGATGTCTTACTGTCTGGCTCACGCTGCCTGCAGAAGGCACTTTGTTATCCTGAGCCCAGTGACATCTCTCAGAGTATGACTTCATTGTGGCGTGTGTTGCCCCACAGCAATGAATGCTTCAATTTCTAGGCATCCATCATGTTTATGTCTACAAATATGTTTAACTGATTTAAAGAAGGTGATGCTGTTTGGTTTTAACTATTAATTTGAAGCTGAAGCTCTGCTGCTTGTTAAAAACTGAATAAGCAAGGATTCATCTCCCGATATGAAGCAATTGCCTCCCTTTTTAGAAGAAAATAAGAAAAGGTTGTGGCATTGATATTTCACATTTTAAATGAAAATTAATCCTAGTTCATGATATTGCGGACAGTTGATTTTTCATAGCCTTTTTGTGTTGATTTAACTATTATTTCAATCATGAAATAAAGTATTGAGTACTTCAGTTATTCTTCTCATCAAAACAAATCAATAACATTTGCATTCACAGGAGAGAAAATAGGTGACGACTGTTTCCTCTGCAACAGTGATTGTTATTTTCATGGTATTTACAGGTAAAAAGGTCTGTGGAGCTGACACCTGCTGTTAAATCCTTAAATTGCTTTTTCATGCCACATTGTGATCTAAGTAAATTTTCTAACTTTTCTTGAAAATTTGTGCAGATTTTTAAACTATATGTTTTTAACTTGGGAGAGGATTATTTGCACCAAATGCCACTGTTTTCTAGTATTTTTGACAGTAGTTCTTTTCCCACAATTGCATAAAATCTGGATTAAACCCAGCAGAAATCATACCGCAGCATTTGTCATTGGACACTTCAGCTCAGAAGTCTTGATGGCTTTTTAAAACTGCACAGATCCTAGATCTGCTTTCCTCCATTTAAAATTTGGTAGTGTGCTCACATCTGTTGCATCCATAGTATATGCAGTAAGATCCTGAGCTTTACTGTTCCTTCCAGGATAACATGCTACTGGGTCACTGTTGTTGGGTCAATAATCTTGAGGAGACGAGAGAGCCTGACAAGTCTCTGAGGCACCTTCTGGGGAATGCTAAGCTCATTGGCTGCATTTATTTTTGCTGATCTCAGTCTTTATCTCGAAAGAGTCCTACAACATTATGGAATAATTGCCATGATGCTGCAGTAATAATGCTGCCAAGTCTGGTAATTTGGGGGATTATTTAGAGTAGTATTTTGTCTTTAATAGGGGAGGATCACGTAGACAAGTGCAGATCAGTATTCTGCTCTAAATTTTGTCTTTTTTTTCCTTTAGGAGAATTTTTTTTTCTTCCCTCTGTCTAGTTTCTTTGCTCCTAGTGCAGTGGAAGCTCCTCAAGTCTGTTAAACTCCATTGGTATTCACTGAATCCATAACCAGTTTGTATCAATTCCACATTTTGCCCAGTAAGCTTTTCTTAGACCTCACAACTCTTCTCTCCACCAGGACTGGGAGTGTGGACAGGAGCAAACAATGAAAGACTAAAACATCCCCTTCCTCTAGCAATCTGGATTTTTTGCTTTCACAGATGAGGTCTCTGGAATTTGGATAGTCTAACAACATCTGAAGACTGATAGTTGAAATCAGTGCTTTGCCAATGAGCCAGAAGCTTGCCAGAGAAAAATGAGCTGTCCCTCTGTACCGGCCTGGAAGCCAGAAGTTATTTTGCTGTCTTTGACCTTGAGAAAGCTACTGAGCTGCTCTACCTCTATTTTCCCCTCTGCAGGAGTGGTTGCATGTTACTGCCTCACCTAGATCTAGTGCATATTAATAAGTTAATGTCTTAAGGTACATTAAAAGCGTGTAATAGCTATTCAAGTCCCAGTTGTTCTTATGACTTAAAATGGCAGTTAATTCCTGGATTTTTTTATTTGGTTTTATTACAGACATTATAGAACATTAAGTTCATTTGCACACTTAACGCTTTTGATTGCAAACATTTTCTGGTCCTCATAACATCTATTCATAACCTATTCTCAGAAGGGCAATCTGTCCCTTGTCATAGTATGCCTATTATGACATGTCGTTTGTGCTGCCAGTTTGCCTCTATTTTCCCTGATAAATTACCAGCTTTATGACAGATTAAGCTGAAACAGAGAAGAGTGTAATTTCCACCTAAGTTTTTTTCTGCAACCTCTGTTGCCAATTTGTGCCCTACTGCTAACGACTTTACGCTTCAGCCCAAAGGGTATGTGTCAAGCATAAGTAAAACTCTAGATTTGGGCATAATTTTTTACCATTTCAGAATGCATTTTAAGAGTCGATGAAAATCTGATAAGCCCTGCCACCAAAATCCACAGAAGGTTTCATTATCCTCACTGAAATGAATTTGAGAAGAAAGACCATGCCCAAAAGCCATGCATCGCGAACAGCAGCAAAGGAAGCTTTAGAAACCCTCTTGTGCCACTCGAGTGTGTCTTTAATTTTGACTTGGGGAGGCAGCTTCTTGATCTGAAATAGCCTTATTTTCTGCCTTGCCCATATAGTTCTCGGTCTGTCTGGTAAGACGACAATTAATTTCAATTACTCTGTGGGCTCTTGTACACTAGCAGCTGAATCAAGGCCTCAGTTTGTTCAATGTGTGTACTAAAGAGCTGTGAAGCATCAATATCTCACTCCGGGCTAGAATTGCATCTGTGGCAGAGCAGTGAAAAACCGCTGTGTCCAAAAAGACAGTGTGTGAGACCAGTTCCTCTGGGACACCCAGTTCAGCTTCAGACTGTAGATTTATGAAATTAAATGCATTAGACATCCCTGCCAGTGTCTTGTAAATCTTATAAAACGTATTTGAGTCAGAAAACATTTATTTTCCATAAAACTTGTCAAGAGAATTTCTTTTTGTCTAAACTTTAGCAGTGCCTAAGGATAGAAATGCTTAATATTTATAGCTCTGCCTTCTCTCTGTCTCTCACACATAAGCCTCTATTGTAGAAATGTATATACAATGGTTTGAAGTTTTTTCAGATTTTGTTTTAACTGATAAGTACAGAAGAGCGTAGTGTGGATCTGAAAACATGCTGATAAAAATGTAACTCGTTATTCCAAAATCAAAGAGCCTGGGATGACAGATTAGAAGCATGCGTTTTTTTCCCCACTAGATTTTACAGGAGGGATTTCACTTTTTTCTTTTTTTATTTTGTCTGTACCATGAGTCACTCATATGCTTAAATTCTGATTTTTCATTAAAGTATTTTCTCACTAGAAACATTGTAAGCTATATTGGTGTAACTTTTTTGCGGTTTTGGTCGCGTAAAGATGATGCAACGGTAATTGCAAGTGCTTGTACTAGTCAGCTATGTATTATTCAAATCTATGTGTTAAGATACATTTATCTTCTTAAACCAAGTGCTTGCTTAGCTGTAGCTTTGTTCTCTAATTTTGTTGCAAATCACGAAGCTGATTTAAAATGGACTGTTTGAAACAATATGTGCTTTTTGGCAAATAATGCTAAAAAATTTTGTGGTGTAGACCACCTGGCCATGTGGGGTTTTTGCTAATGACCCAGAGGAATTTATACACAATGGAAATATCCAGTGACCTTGATTCGTCTTTCTTAAGTGTACTGCAGTACTGCATGTATTTCATAAGTGCTTTGCTTAGACAGCTGACTTAGTCAAAATGCTGTGGAAGAGGCTGATTTTAATCAAGAAGAACACAAAACACCAGGAAAAATGAGGGGCTTAAAATAGAAAGTAGTATTATCAAGAAAGTGGATGATTCAGAAAAATTACGAGATGAGAAGCTGCCTATTTCTAGATCACTAGTTCAAATAAAGATCCTCTGTGGTAATTTGTAAATCTTGTTGCCATCCGATACCTGCTTGGTAACCTAAATTGGTGTGAGCCACTTTGATATCTGCTACCCTGTGTGCATGCCCATAAGGATGCATCTGTAACCTGCATACATCCTTCACAGAACGGGGAAGCACCAGATGGTCCTGGATGCTGAACTACTTTTTGCTCCTTTCATTTGTACTTCCAGAAGGAACTCAGTGAACTTGTACTTACTCTCTGTGTATGTATTGTTTTAAAATTAACTGAATGATCCAGTGGTGGTGTTCACCATTGGAAGTTTTTTATTTCTTTTTTTTTTTAGCAATGTTAACAGAATTTCTCAGCATTTTAGTTTCTCTTGGAAATTTAATTCCAGGCTTTTGAATTTCCTGCCTTTCCTCTTAAAAAGAGTTACACAAAAAATAGGTTACAGAGAAAACAGATTTTAAAAATGAAGTTCATAAAATTAAAATTATTAAAGCATATCAATAAATTGGAAGTTAGTTGAAAGTTTTTAAAGAACGTAGTGCATTTATGTATCATTAGGAAAATTCAGCTGATGAATTTTAAAACTACTTCTGGAATAAAATTTTTTGGGTCAAACTCATTGAAGTCTAATACAAAAATTCACAAGACAATTCTTCATTAATCTTTCTTACTTTGTGGTACAAAACATGGACTATCACTAAGAAAATGGAGTTCCTCTCTTCAAGGCATCCAGTAAAGCTATGCATCTCACTGTTGGTTAGTGTGCAATAGTAAATGATGCAATTAACAAAATTATTTCTCTGAAGCCGAAGATGATGATAACAGCATGGTATGGTTTGCTCATAGGATCTGAAGCTTTTTCTTCTCCTTAATCCCTAAGCACAGTGTGGACTAGCATTATATACCTAGAAGTACATTTTTAAAAGTCTTTCTGGGGTGTTATCTGGCAGCCATTTAAGAGTCCATGTTAACTTTAGGGTTAGAAGAAAGAGAAATGTTTCAAGTTGACTCAGTAGAAAATCATTTAAAGAGAAGAATACCACAGTTTTTCAAGATGCAGAATGCCTCTGGTATTCTGAGCAGGCTAAAATATTCAAGGGAATTGAGCCTACCTAGCACTTGGTAAGGTCAGACCCAAATTTGTGTGCCTCAAGGGCAACTTGGCCAGCACATCTAATTTCGCACCTATGTTCTTCTGGAAAGTAAAATGGGAGTTTGACATGAAAAGGGTGTCCAACAGGCAAATGTTCCCCACCTTTCATATAGCTCTTGCCTCAGCTGGGACTTAAGAGAGAGGGCAGTTTCTGGTGTCTCACAAATAAACCTGAGCAGCCATCATTTTTGCCTACCAGTCTCTCATTCTCATTTCACATTGGAAAAGCAACATGAGCTATTAGATAAAAATGGGTTGGGAAACCTGGTTCTGTTCCTGACCTTTCCTTTCACCTTTTGTTTGACTTTGATCTTCACATCCTCA